GGAGTACAGTAACTCTGCTGCAGGAACAGTATGTAAGTTGTTTAATCAGCTTAGTAGGTTACTGGTGGGGAGTGACCAACATACCAGTACATGCTGTTAACCAAGCCTAACTTATAATGTCCACAGTATCCATATTACAATGTTGTCCTGAGCAGGACTTGGAAGACTCTCAAGTCCTCCGTGCCCCCATCTCCACTATCCAGGTTTGAAGACGTGGCTCTTGGATTATCCTCACTCTCAAAATGACTCACTTGTAGCTTTGCCCGATCCACAGACATGCAGGAGGATGTGACTGCAGAATCAGCTCTGGGCACTTTTTAGGAATTGCAGACAGCTCTCCCAGAGAGGGTTCCTCCACATGAGAGATGAAAGCCTCCCCAACCATCTTAAGCCTTCAAGTGCCTCTAGTCCTTTTCTGAAGCAACATCTTCCATGTCCTAGCCAGAAGGGCCCACGGGAGATGTCCAGTATCCTGATTTGCCTATTTTTTATATATATATAATTTTTTATTACATATTTTTCGCTCTATAAGACGCACCAGACCATAAGATGCACCTAGTTTTTGGAGGTGGAAAACAAGAAAAAAAATATTCTGAATCTCAGAAGCCAGAACAGCAAGAGGGATCGCTGTGCAGCGAAAACAGCCTGCATTCGCTCCATAAGATGCACACACATTTCCCCTTACTTTTTAGGAGGGAAAAGGTGAGTCTTATAGAGCAAAAAATACGATAGTTTTTTAACATACCATTTTCAACAGTAATTAAACATACTTTTACATCTTACTCAATTTTTTGACTTCCATCAGTCCTATCTGAGAATTTTCCAATCTAATCTCTTAGTATACATTTCTTACCTTTCCTATTACATTTAAAACTCACAACCAATATCTCTATTCTTTAATCTACTTTGTAACACTTCATATATTTCTCCTTACAAAACTTCTTGTAGTCCTACTAGCGTAATTTGTTGATTACAATTGCTCTTCAAATAGTTCATATACTTCTTCCTTGTCCTCCTCAGAATCCTCCCTGACATTCTTCACCATTCTCCAGAAGCCACAGGTGGCATTTTCCACTATAAATTTGTCTCATTCTCTTTAAAAATCATCTAGGTTGGTGGCCAATCCCTGCCTACTGCGGGAGTGAATTCCTTAGTTTGAAGATGCACTAAGAAACTCTGTGATGGTCTTCTGGGAAGGGTCTACCAAGTTTAGAAGGATAATAATTTTGGGGTGGTTTTTGTTTGCCAGGAATAAGGGGATCAGGGCACAGCCTCTGAACTGTGAGGCCTATCCCCTAAATCCTCTATGGAGGACTAAATCCTTCATTTGGTAACTCACTGTCTAAGCCCAAACTAATGGATTCAAATTTCACAGAAGGAGATTCTGACCCAACATTAGTAAGACCTTTCTGGTGGGAAGATCACTTTGACAGTGGAATAACCTTGTTTGGAAGGTGGTGGCCTCTCCTTCCTTGCAGGTTTTAAAACAGAGTGGGCCATCTGCCAGGGATTGCTTTAGCTGTCATCAGTGCCTTGCAGGGGTTGGATTAGATGTCTCTTGGGTTCCCTCCCAACTCTACAATTCTATGATTTAATGAAATACAATTGCTCTGTAGAAGCTCACCTGCCTCAAGATTCCTCATGTAAGCTGTGCTTCAGATGGTATGAACTCCCCTCATCCCTCTGAAAACTCATTCACAGACAGTGGAAGCAGAGCCTTTACGGTTGAGCCCACCAACCTTGCTCTGCCTTCAGCCGGTCCCCACCTGTCCAGAAGCATAGGAAGGCCAGGTGGTAACCAGTGCGGAAAATTTCTTGTCACACCCCCATTGATTTTTATTTTATTTTTTGCCTGCAAAAATGGTTTTACGTTATTTCATACTTTCTTACAAAGGAATAATAATAATAATAATAACAATAATAATAACAATAATAAAGTTTTATTTATACAGTCATACCTCAGGTTACAGACGCTTCAGGCTGCGTGTTTTCGGGTTACAGATGTGCCAAAACCCAGAAGTACCGGAATGGGTTACTTCCTGGTTTCAGCACTCGCACATGCGCAGAAGCACTAAATCATGCTTTGCGCATGCACAGAAGCACCTAATCGCGACCCGCACGTGCGCAGACATGGCGCTGCGGGTTGCAAACGCTGTGGGTTGCAAACGTGCCTCCCGCATGGATCACATTTGCAACCTGAGAATCCACTGTATCCCGCCTTCCCCAGCCGAAGTCGGGCTCAGGGCTGCTAACATCAGATACATAACATTGGTATAAAATCAAACAATAAGTGCTCCACTGAATTGAAATTTCAGCCTTCTCAACATAGGAAAAAGGCCAAGTAAACAGCTATTTTTGTGGAGAAGGGTCAAGATATTAACTGATATGCATGAAATTTCATATACAGTGGTACCTCAGGTTAAGTACTTAATACATTCCGGAGGTCTGTTCTTAACCTGAAACTGTTCTTAACCTGAAGCACCACTTTAGCTAATGGGGCCTCCTGCTGCCTCCGCGCCGCCAGAGCACGATTTCTGTTCTCATCCTGAAGCAAAATTCTTAACCCGAGGTACTATTTTTGGGTTAGCAGAGTCTGTAATCTGAAGCGTATGTAACCTGAAGCGTATGTAACCCAAAGTACCACTGTATAGCTATATAATCCCTAGTGTAGTAAGATAAGACCTTGGAGCAGGCATTTTTTTAAAAAAAGTTTTTTTATGAACTGCCCTAGTAGGGCAGAGATTGTTCCTTGATAATTTGTCATCCCCCACCTTGATGGAACCTGGGATGACCCGCCCCCCCACCCCCTTCCTATGCCCCTTGCTTCTAACTTAGGTAAAAGGTAAACGTAAAGGACCCCTGGACGGTTAAGTCCAGTGAAAGGCGACTATGGGGTTGCGGCGCTCATCTCATTTTCAGGCAGAGGGAGCCGGCGTTTGTCCACAGACAGCTTTCCGGGTCATGTGGCCAGCAGGACAAAAGCGCTTCTGGCACAAGAGAACACCATGACAGAAACCAGAGCTCACGGAAATACCATTTACCTTCCTGCCACAGTGGTACCTATTTATCTACTTGCATTGGCGTGTTTTCAAACTGCTAGGTTGGCAGGAGCTGGGACAGAGCAACAGGAGCTCACTCCATTGCGGGGATTCAAACTGCCAACCTTCCGATCGGCAAGCCCAAGAGGCTCAGTCGGTTAGACCTGCATCCCTTCGCTTCTAATTTATAAGCAATCAGGAGCTGGCTTTGTCTCTCGTGGGCTCTGGCTCTGCTTGTCATTGACTCTGGACCCACCTGCTGTGGTTTCCTTGCCTCCTGCCCTGTCAGCCTGAATCAGCACTGCTCACAGGTTGCCATGTGGTCAGGATTAATTTGTGAATGGAACAAGGCTCAAGGCTTTGGAGGAAGATCTCACAATGCCAGCTCTCACACATTTTTATTTTGATGGTGTGCATTGCAGGAAAAGTAGAAACAGGAGATATTTGAGAATGAATGCTCCTTTTATTAAGTACATGAAATGTAATTGAAAGTACACCCATCAATTATGCAAAGCTTTTTTTGCTGCTGACAAAATTGAAGAATGTTTTATTATTTGCATTACATTTGTGTTCTATTCAATTATCACCAAGGTCAGGATTGTATAGAAATGAGCATGTACCCAGGGGACTAGCTTCCTTCATTTAGTGTGTGTGCATGTTCAAGAAATATCTCCCACCCCCTGAAAAGCTGGAGTTAACCTGAATCAACAAGAATTAGGCACCTCAAGTACGTAGGTGGTATAATAGCTGGTGGGGTGTCCAGTAGAGGAGAGAGGCTGGAACTGATCACTAGATCAAACTGGGATCCTGTAACTTAGGTTCAAGTGCCAACGAGGAAATGATATGAAAACATAAAAATCATTTAAAGGTTTCCCACTGTTGTGGTAATTATTCAATCATTTTGATCATTGGTTATATGTAAAAAATGTTTCATTATCTGCATTGCATTTGAATTACATGCAACTATATACAGTATAAGATAAGAAATGGAGGCAGTGAGAGATTTTACTTTCTTGGGTTCCATGATCACTGCAGATGGTGACAGCAGTCATGAAATTAAAAGAGGCCTGCTTCTTGGAAGAAAAGCAATGACAAACCTAGACAGCATCTCAAAAAGCAGAGACATCACCTTGCCAACAAAGGTGCATATAGTTAAAGCTATGATTTTCCCAGTAGTGATGTATGGAAGTGAGAGTTGGACCATAAAAAAGGCTGATCGCCGAAGAATTGATGCTTTTGAATTATGGTGCTGGAGGAGACTCTTGAGAGTCCCATGGACTGCAAGAAGATCAAACCGAGCCATTCTTAAGGAAATCAGCCCTGAGTGCTCACTGGAAGAACAGATCCTGAAGCTGAGGCTCCAATACTTTGGCCACCTCATGAGAAGTGAAGACTCCCTGGAAAAGACCCTGATGTTGGGAAAGACTGAGGGCACAAGGAGAAGGGGACGGCAGAGGAGGAGATGGTTGGACAGTGTTCTCGAAGTTACGAACATGAGTTTGACCAAGCTGTGGGAGGCAGTGGAAGACAGGAGTGTCTGGCGTGCTCTGGTCCATGGGGTCCCGAAGAGTCGGACACGACTAAATGACTAAACAGCAAAATATGAAAGATAGAGTGTCCTATGTAGGATTCTACAGAAATAACCATAGGTAAATATTAAGCCACTCCCATTAAGCCCCCCTTTCCGCCACTGCTGTGATCTTGGGGTGCAGGTTAAACAGCTCTGGCTATGCCCATCCATTTCTTGAGTGGGTTCTAAGGTCACCCCGGTAGGGTCAGTTGAGAAGGGCTGCAGTGGGGGCTTGCTTCATGATAACATAGTCTAGAAGAATTAAGGGCCTCAGATGTGTGGGTTGTGTAATAGTTGATGGGGGTCCGATGGAGGAGAGAGGTTGGAACTGATCTGTAGTTCAATTGGAGATTCTGCAATCCTGGTCAAAGTGCTCAGGAGGAACATATCCCCTAAGGATTGCCTGATTCCACAGGCTTTTCTGCTGCTGGACCAGTAGTGACCATACCACTCACATACTTCCGGTAGATTTCAGCAACGTTCTCTGCAATACGCTTGTTAGGATTCTTCCAGATATCCTTCAACTGTTTGTAGAAAGAAGGGAGATGAAGGCCTAACAACTACAACAGTGGCTTTTGAATCCTTCTGACATTGACTTGCCTGCTAGAGATCCCATCCCCTGAAGCCCTTTAAAATTGCATTGGGAAGGTCAGTTTTTTAGGTCAAGAATAGTTCTCAAGGGGCTGTATCCAATGCTGTAAGCAAATCAGGAGAGGCTAATGCAGCAGCACAAAGCATTTCCCCATAACCTTTGTCTACCATCAGCCATCCCCATCTGCCAGCTTCTTAACTACAACCCCCCTACCTACCAAGATTTTGCAGGGGGTAGGGTGGGCTCTGCATGTATTGGCTCTGGCTCCACTTTCTGTTGGCCTTCCTGCCTTCTGCTCCATTAGTCACAATGAGCACCAGCCACATACACAACCCAAGGAGTTGTGGCACAGTCTTTAAGCCTTCTCCCACTGAGATTTTGTCCCCATAGAACTTAGTGTTAGATGGATTTGGAGTGTCGGGGAGGATGTATTATTTAGTGATTTTCCTTCCTTTGGCTCATGTGTGTGACAATTCTTATATAGATTCAACAGAGTTAAAAGTCACCATCCTTTGCAGCACAGAATGGACATTTCTGGGACGAAAGCGACGTAGCTTTCTATAATTATTGAGGATGTGTTAGCAGACTGGATCATTTGTGGATTTCACTGCTTTGTAATCCCTCTAGACAGAAAGTTCAGACACAGCTGACTGAACTGTAAGCATATAAAAAAATGTTTACTTACATAGCCTTGTGCAAGGTTCAGCAGAAACAATAGTGTAAATCAAGACAGGCAAAAACTAGTTACTAAATTGCAAAACACATTGTTGAAGATCAAAATAGACCTTCTTGCTCAGGAGAGCAAAAGATATGCATCCTATCTGCTCGTCAGGAAGGTGCTCAGGCAGGAAGAAAGTACATAGGATAATCTGCTTTGCAAGAAATCCCCTCCAAAGCAAACAGAGTGAAATGACCTCAGAGAGTTCTCTCTAGGAATTTTTTACTAACCCTTAGTCATCTAGGAAAAATGAAATTTTATATTTGGCTGCAACATCATTTTCCCATGCTCAGCAGGGTGCAGGATGGGCTCTGCCTGCCATTGTTTCCCTCTACTGTTGGCCTCCCTTGCCTTCTGCCCCTCCTCTCTCCCCTCCTCTCTCTTTTGCAAAACCTAGGTCACTTCTATGTGTACTTATATGTGTGTGTGCACGTGTGCGCACATGCGTTTATATATAGTTTTCTTCAGAGTAGACCCACTGGAATCACTGGTGCAAAATAATTAATGACAATTAATTTCAGCGGGTCTGTTCTGAGTATAACTAACTTTGGATACAACCCAGACTCCTTTCTGCCATAACAATCTTATCTCTTTGGCTTCAGGACAAAAATCATTGTTGAATATGTTGTGGTGCTTCAGAGAGCCACTACCATCCTTCCCCAAGTACACACATATAAGGCATCTAGGGTTACTTCTACTCACAGCTGTCAAAATTTCCTCGATTAACTTCTCCTTGAGCTCATCACTGAGATTGTATCCATCCAATTCGAGCTTCGTATTGATTATTTTCATCAAAAACTTCTTGGCCTTATTCCTGGCCCAATTCTTGAATTTATCAATCATGCCACCCTCAAATCTGTGGTTCTCGCCATGGTCTTCATCCTGGTCCTCGTCTAGAGACCGTGTCTTAACTTGGTTTTCATCCTTGTCCAACGTGTCAGCATCAAAGTTACCCAGTGTGCTTGTACTCAAGGCCAGCAGCATTACAGCTAGCAGGATGCGCCAAGACTTAATGATGAGCCGAGACTTCAAATTCAGGGTGCCCTGATTTAGCTGACAGAAAGGAATAGAAGAATGGAAGGACTGTCCCTTGTCTCTTCTCTGCCAGAGATGGGGCTCTCTGCATTTCTTATATAGCTCTCTTCAAGCTCTCTCTTGGGTTATGCTACCAGCTATTGGACTAGAACCAAGGTCGTTCAGGTCTCAATGAGGCTTATCACCTTGTTGCTGTTCCAATCTCCAGGCTGCTCAGTGATTTCTGCACAATGTATTTAAGAGGTACATTAACTTTCCAGCAGAGTCATTACAGAGTACACAACTCTGTTGCATGGACAGTGTGTGAGTTCTTCCTCATCCAGTCCTGCCAGCTTTTTTTGAATTTCATATCTTTCAGATTTATTTTGTTTCCCTCTTTCATCAAACGTTGAGCTGAACATTTTAAATTTTCCCAGCATCAATTGCTGAACAATATCAACAGTCACTGGGACAGCCAAAGATACCTTTGCCATACTCAGTGTTTTCGTGCTATTAACAACTCAGTCTCTTTATAAGTCCCAACCCTGCCTTAAGATTTGCACCTTAAGATCACAGTCAAAACAATATTATTTCTCATGGAGGAAGTAATGGTTGAATTATTTCAGTTTCTCAGTGACTTTTTTTTAAAAAAAGAAAAATAATTTTTTCTCACTGAGAATTCCCTTGTTCATTTAATTTTTTTTCCCAACCATAAATCAGGCTTTTCCCTCTACCATAGACACTTTAACAACCAGTTTTCCCTCTCTTCATCGTAAAGACCGAAAGGAGACCGAAAACATTTGCATTATATTTAATTATACCAAGGGCATGGTTTCACATGTAGGATTGTAAAGAAATGATTGTGTACATGTGCCTAGAAAACAGAGTGGACTTTTTTCATTTTAGCTTCTGTGTGTGTTAGAGAGCTATATTCAACCCCCTAAAAAGAGAGAGCCAGTGTGGTGTAGTGGTTAAGAGCGATAGACTCGTAATCTGGTGAACCGGGTTCATGTCTCCGCTCCTCCACGTGCAGCTACTGGGTGACCTTGGGCTAGTCACACTTCTTTGAAGTCTCTCAGCCCCACTCACCTCACAGAGTGTTTGTTGTGGGGAGGAAGGGAAAGGAGAATATTAGCTGCTTTGAGACTCCTTCGGGTAGTGATAAAGCGGGATATCAAATCCAAACTCTTCTGAATCAACAAGAATTGAGAGCCTCAAGTGCATGGGTGGTATATTAGCTGGGTGTCCAATAGGGGAGAGGGGCTTGACCTGATCAAGCTGTGATTATGTAACCCAGATTCAGGTGCCATTTCAGGTGTGGAAATAAAATGAAAACATCAAAGTTATTTAAAGCTTTTTCCACTGTTGGGGTAATTATACGATCATCTGATCATTGGTTATACAACAATAATTCAAACAAAGAATGTTTCATTCTTCACATTGCATTTAATGATATGCAACTATATCAAAGATAGTTTCCAATGCAGATTCTACAGAAATGAGTGTGTCCATAGGTGAATTTTAAACAGCTCCCATTAAGCCCCTCTTTCTGCCACCACTGTGATATGGGGGTGCAGATTACACAACTCTGGCCGTGCCCATCCATTCCTTGAGCAGGTTCCATGGCCAGTCCTGGTAGAGCCAGTTGAGATGGGCTGCAGTGAGGGCTTGCTTCATTATGACATCATTCAGAAGAATTGAGAGCCTCAGATGTGTGGGTTGTATAATAGTAGGTGGGGGGTCCAATGGGGCAGAGAGGTTGGAACTGATTCGTAGCTGAATCTGGGATTCTTGGTTGAGGTGCCCAGAAAGAACATCTGCCCTAAGGATTGGACGATTCCTCAGGTATTTCTTCTTCTGGACCAGTTCCTACGTCCTTTATTTTTTCCACTGTTTTCAGTGTTTTGTCGACCACATCAGTCAAAGCCCCACAATAGGCACTCCGATCTTATTCCAGGCATCAAGCTGTAGGAAGAAGGAGAGAGGATAAGGCCAAACAGCTGCAGCAGTGGCTTTTGAACCCTTCCTATGTTGACTTGCCTATGAGAGAGCTCATCACCTGAAGCCCTTTAAAAATTGCATCAAGAAGGTCAGCTAATTAGACCAAGAAAATGGGCAATAGTTTTACTCGAGCTATATCCAATGCTGTAAGCATGCAAACCAGGGAGGCTAATGCAACAGAACAAACAGAGCATTTCCCCATTAACTGTCGGGATTCAAGCCTAAGTAAGTAGTAACTGGCAACTCTCCAGGCACCCAGCTTGATCTCCTGTTGACCTCCCTGTCTGCATTCCTCAGCAAGATCCAGGCAGAGGTCGCGATAGGCGATCCTTCTCAGCGTGAGAAGAACACCCCCCTCTTTGTTGCCCCCCCCGGCAGGGGAAAGAGATAGACAGAAACGTATTTACATGCCTTTATTTCTGTCTTTGCAGTGTTACAAAAAACATGACTGCTCTCTTCAAACTCCAGCAGTCGAGAGACAAACACTTCCTGTACTTCCTGTACAGCTCATATTACACTCTGAGCTAATTCCGGTGCTTCGCACTGTGAATTGACTGTCCCTCTGTTTCCCATGGACAGTCCCAACATCATGTGATGTTTTCAAGCTAGCAGCTCGCAGCTGCATTGCTTCTATATCATATCAGTCTGCCATCCGCCAACTCTCACCTGACAGCTTCTTAACTACAACCCCCACTCGTGCAGAGCTTTCCCCCTTGCAGAACTCAGCAGTGGGGAAAATGGGTTCTGCATGCATTGGCTCTGGCTCCCTTACCGTTGGCCTTCCTGTCTTCAGCCCCATCAGTCGTAATGGGCACCAGCCACTACTGGCACATACACAGACAAATAATAATAATTTTAAAAAATATTTATACCCCGCCCTCCCCAGCCAAGACCGGGCTCAGGGCGGCTAACAACCAATAATAAAAACAAGTTGATTGAAATGCAACTTAAAAAACAAGATTAAAATACAACATTAAAACATCAAAACATTAAAATGCATAAATAAAATCTAAGCTTAAGACATTAAAAATGAGGAGAGGGGCTTGGAAAATAATGATGATGATGATCTTGTTCAGAGCATACCCATTGGATAGTAATTTTTATTTTTATTTTTATTTTATTTTTTGGAGCACTGCAGCAAAAAAATTGTATACTGCTCATCGTTTTCATGGTCTGTATCCAATGCAATAGGCACACATAAAAACAGGCTGATAAATCAGGATTGAATAAGGCTCTGCCCAACTTAACCTCAGTCACCCTCAGTCATCCTCCACCTGCAGGTCTCTTAAAACCAACCCAATGAATGATACAGCCTGTAAGCCTCCTCCCACTGTGCTTTTGTCCCAATAGAACTAAGTGTTGAATGGATTTGGAGTGTAGGTGGTTTGAGCCGACCTAGGACAGCTGTAGCAGGATTCCTGTGTTGTAGGATGTTGGACTAAATGACTCTCAGGGGTCCCTTCCAACTTTACAGTTCTATGGCAAATGCAACTAGTGTTCCGTCTACTCAAAAGACCTTTCTTGATCCTTTTGACCTTTCCCTGGAACTCAGCCTGGTATTCATCATTGCCCAAAACACCTGTAGTATGAACCAGCAGCATTACAGATAGGAGGATGGGCCAGAACTTCATGATGGGTTGGAATCGGAGTGTCCTCTTTCAGCAGCAGCAAAAAAAGGAAAAGAAAGAAAGAGCTGCTCTTTGCCTCTGCTGTGCCTGAGATGGTGCTCTCTGCCTGCCTTATATAGCCTTGTTTGAGCTTCAATGGGTGATGCTACCCTACTTCTGGACTAAAGCCAAGGGCCTTTCAGAAAGACAATTAGGCAGTTCATGCTGGCATGGTGAACACAGAGCTCATTGCCCAGGCTGAGTGAATTTCCTCGACTCTCTTCCTTGATTGTGTCTCCAATTCGTTCTGCTCTGGGTGCCACACACTTTGATAAACTTTGATAAATTTCTGTGCACAGGTCATGCCCAATTTGCCACAGCTCCCCAGTCATTTTCTTATCTTGCCTCTCCCTCCTATCTCATCAATATGAATGAGTACACTCAAGTCTTGGTTCCAGAGTTCCCAGAGGCAACTGGTTAGCCACTGTGAGAATTGGATGCTGGGCCAGATGGACTTGAGCGACCAGGTTCTTCTTAAGTTCTGATGGCATGAAAGAGTGTGGAAGATCCTACATAGTGCTGTCAGAGAAACTCACGAGCAATACTGTCAGGCTGCTGGGAGCGACTCCCGGCTGGTTGCCCAGGAACGTACAAAGACAAGGGAATGTTTCTTACTATCCGCTTTCTATTCAATATTTACAGAAAGAGGCTATAGAACCCAGCCTCTTGGAAAATGGCATTGATCTGAGTGAATCTCCACCCCCGTATCTCTCCCACTTTCTCATTCGTCTCTCTTATGGGTGCTGCTATGCACCCTCTGTCTTTGAGGTTTTGCTCTCCTACTTTCAAGGCTCGCCAGGTACTGGAAGAGGGGTGGGTGGGTCTGAAATGCTTTCTAAAGACACTGTCCATCAGCTGTCACCCCCCTGGTGCTTCCTCCTCCTCCTCTCCCATTATTTCCCAACTTTTCCCCTCATCTGCTTCTGAGCAGATTTACAACCCCTGTGGTAAATCTAAACTGTCTTCCTCTTCCTCCTCCCTGGAAAGGTCAAGCTGGGGAGATGGTCTCCACCATTCCTCCTCTGCCCAGTCCTTGACACATACATTGCTACACATTCAAAACATCGCATTCAATGGTTGGATAGGGAAGATATGAGCCCGGTTTCAATTTTAATGGAAGGCTATATAGAAAAGTACCTTGGGTATGTGATGAAAGATCTCAGTACCTCCAATGATAGTAAAAGAGAGCCAGCATGGTGCAGTGGTTAGAGTGCTGGGCAAGAACCTGGGAGATCAAGGTTCAAATCCCCACTCAACCTTGAAGCTCACTGGGTGACCTTGGGATCAGTCCCTGCCTAACCCACTTCACAGGGACACGGGTGGCGCTGTGGTCTAAACCACTGAGCCTCTTGGGCTTGCTGATCGGAAGGTCGGCGGTTCGAATCCACAAGGATGGAAAGGGCAGGCGCGAGGGATGCAACGTCCTCCTTGCTCATATGGCATTGCTGTTTTCCAAGCACACTGACCTGGTCTCCTTCAGTGTGCAGGATTTTCTTCTGTGTACAGGACTTTAACAGAATAATGCTTTAAAGGGTTGCTGCTTTGTTTTTGTTTTTTTTTTAAAAAAGAAATGTGAATGGTATGTTGTGTTCGACTAAGTCTGTAAACTGCCCATTAGCTATTTGATAGTGTTCGTGTGTCTTGCTTGCTTAACAATAGCAGTGTTGATATGTGTTGTGGCTCTGCCCCCAAACTTCTTCCAAATCCAGAGCAGTGCAAGTGACCTCCAGGTTGGTTCAGGGCAGGGTGCTCTGATTTGGAAACCACCATCCCCACCCTGATTGATGCTATGGGGGGTGGCTGTGTACAGTGCCAGATTACCAAATAGGCAGAGCAGGCACTAGCCTATGGGCCCCATGCCTTTTAGGGGCCCCACAACAATAGATCAAAATTCCAACTCAACTTTAGGAATAACGTTCTGGTGGAAAGAGCTATTGGACAGTGGACTGGACTCCCACAAGAGGTGGTGGACAATCCTTCATTGGTGGTTTTGAAGCAGAGGTTGGATGGCCATCTGCCAGTGATTATTTAGCTGTGATTCCTGCACTGCAAGGGGGTTAAACCAGATGACCCAACTCTACAATTCTATGATTCTATGAAAACTAGAATTAGTTGGAACCATCTGTCCTTGCCTGTGGCTCCAGTTTCTGTGGGCCTCCCTGCCTTCTGCTCCACCAGTCTCATGAGACACCAGCCGTGTATCACACACAAACACAAAGCCTTTGCTTAAGGGCTCTTAAGAATGTTGTGAATCGCTTGGATAAGTTTTTGTGCCACAAGTTTGTTAATAGCGATAATACTCAGAATAGAAAGAGTGTGCCTCTCACAATCTTATATGAGCCTTTCCTGTACAAGCCACTGCTGAATACATTGTGGAGGCTTTGAAGGCCCCGTTCATAGGAACACAAGAAGCTGCTTTTACCACGTTGTTTCATCTGGTTCAGTATTGTCTGCATTGTCAGCGACTCTCCATACCTTCAGACAGAGGACTATCTATGCACTACCTTGAGATTCCAGAGATTGAACTGGGGTTTTCTAAATGCAAGGCAGATGCTCTACCATGCTTCCCAAAAACACACATATTGCATTTAGCATTGCTTCTACTCGCCTTGTTCTTAGTGACTGCAAGAAAATTGATTGCTGCCCCCATCCTTGTCTTTGTCCTCAATCTGCTCCTGCTCCTCAGACTTGCTCTTATTCTTGTTCTTCACCTTGTGCTGACTTGAAATGCTGACATTTCTGATGGATCAGAATCAAAGTGTCCTCCTTCGGATGGCATAGATGAACAGAGGTGACAAAGAGCTGGCCCTTGTCGCTGCTGTGTCTGAGATGGTCTCCTGGGGGTCTCCAGAGTCTGCCTGCCTGCCTCCTCCCACTCAGCCGCCCTACAGCTGGGGGGGAGACAGCAGTCAGACTGTTTGGGCAGCGCGGAGCCTGCGCATGAGCAAGCCACCACATCTCTCCCAGAAGAGACATGTGGCTTGGGCGTGCTGCAGGCCTAGCGGTGAGTGCCACCCGGATTTTGTCACCCTCCTCCGTGGTGACACCCGGGGTGGCCCGCACCCACCGCACCCCCTTCCTCTGCCCCTGTCTCTGCCTTCTTCATACAGTCCTCTTTGAGATGGGTGATGCTATCTGCTTCAAACTAAGTGAAGTTTAGTAAGGCAATAAGCCATTTCATGCTGATGTGGGGAACACTCAGCCCTTTGCCAGTGGATTTCCTCGATTCTCTTCCTTGACGGTTTCTTCAGTTCATTCTGCTCTGGGTCCCACACTTCCCGAATTTCACAATTTCTGAGCTCAGTGAAGAAATTGGCTCACACTCTTTGCAACAGCTCCTTTTCTTCTCTCTCTCTCCCCACCCCCACCAATCTCATAAAACTGTATGTGTGCATTCGAAAAATGCTCCAAAAGGAATATCTTGAACCCACTGAAGCTACCAATTTATTTTATTTTATTTTATTTTATTTTATATTTTATTTATTTTATTTTATTTTATTTTTTACATCACAAGAGTCCAGTCTGGAAGTTACTATAGCGGATTTTCAAATCCTAATTAGAAACTCATCACTGCATTATTGTTCCAAATTCCACAATGACTTTCTAAAAATAAAATAAAAAATAAGGACATTCCTCATCTTATTTATAGAGGTATATTAACTTTTCAGCAGTATCATTAATGGATAGAGTAGCTCTGTTGTAGGAAAAGTATGCAAGTTGCATTGTGAACTTGTTTGGTTACTGGTGTGGAGTGACCAGTACTCATGCAATTGACCAAGCCTAAGTTATTATGTCCCCAACAGCCATGTCACAGTGTTGCCTTCAGGAGGACTTTGATTCAGATGACTAAGCAGTCCTCAGTGCCCCTTTCTCCACTATCCAGGCTTGAAGAGGTGTCTCTCCCAGAGCAGAAGAAAAGAAGAGCCTTCTGAATCAGGTCAATGTCCTATCTAGTCCAGCATCCTCTTCTCATGGTGGCAAACCAGTTGTCTGTGGGAAACCCACGAGCAGGATTTGAGCATAAGAGTACCTTCTTCTCCTGAGGTTTCCAGTAACTGGTACTCAGAAGCATTGCTGCCTTAGACCATAGAGGCCGAGCCGAGCCATCATCACTAGTAATAATAATTTATTATTTATACCCCGCCCATCTGGCTGGGTCCCCCCAGCCACTCTGGGCGGCTTCCAACAAAACACTAAAATACAAAAACTTATTAAACATTAAAAGCTTCCCTAAACAGGGCTGCCTTTAGATGCCTTCTAAAAGTTTGGTAGTTATTTTTCTCTTTGACATCTGGTGGGAGGGCGTTCCACAGGGCGGGTGCCACTACCGAGAAGGCCCTCTGCCTGGTTCCCTGTAACTTGGCTTCTCGCAGTGAGGGAACCACCAGAAGGCCCTCGGTGCTGGACCTCAGTGTCCGGGCAGAACAATGGAGGTGGAGAAGCTCCTTCAGGTATACTGGGCCGAGACCGTTTAGGGCTTTAAAGGTCAGCACCAACACTTTGAATTGTGCTCGGAAATGTACTGGGAACCAGTGTAGGTCTCGGCGGCCGCTCCCAGTCACCAGTCTAGCTGCCACGTTCTGGATTAGTTGTAGTTTCCGGGTCACCTTCAAAGGTAGCCCCACATAGAGCGCATTGCAGTAATCCAAGTGAGAGATAACCAGAGCATGTACCACTCTGGTGAGACAGTCCGCAGGCAGATAGGGTCTCAGCCTACGTACCAGATGGAGCTAATAAACAGCTGCCCAGCCATTGATAGCCTTATCCAGGGCCATCTTAAGCATATCCGGCGCCGTGGTTCAAAGCTTCCTCCAGCGCCCCCTCCCCCCATTTCCCAGAGTTGTCCACCTTTTTTCAGGGAGGCCGGCACTGGAGGAGGTGGGCAGCGGCTGGAGGGTGGCTCCTCCAGTGGGGAAGAGGCAGAGGAAGAGGCTGGACGTAGCGCCTCCCGGCTCAGATGGCCGCTTCTTGCCGTGGTGGCCATGGCAGACCGAGGCTCTGGTGTGGCACTGCTTCGGCACGGCATGGTGGAGGCGGGCATGGGTGGTGAGTTGATACCGGGAGGTGCCACGTCCAACCTCTGCCTCTTCCCTGGTGCCCTTCAGAACTTGGCGCCCTGGCTTCCCATGTCACTAGCCTCTATGGGTAAGATGCCCCTGGCCTATCCTCCTCTATGAATCTGTCCATTCCTCTTTTAAAGCCATCTGTGTTGGTGGCCATCGCTACCTCCTTTGGAAGGGAGTTCCATGGTTTAAATCTGCACTGAGTGAAGTAGTACTTCCTTTTATCTGTCCTGAGTCAGTTGATATCATGCAAGTTCAATCCAAGCAAGGCAGAGAGCTTAAAAGCTCTTTACATGTCAGGTCTGCTTCTGGTATACTAGCACATAAAGAGCTTTTAAGCTCACTGTTCAGCAAGTAAGGCCTGCAAGCAGGTGATGGAAGTATGGGGAGGCTTTTCCTTCTTTCTCTCTGTCCTCCCCTCCTAGCTGTGGGAGTGGCTGCAAGGGTATTTGTGTACGAGAATTTTGGGTATACGTGGAACCCTTGGAAGGGAGGGAGACAGTTGTTTGTCAGGCAATAGCTTTTTCCACCTGCCTTGCCCTATTCTCTAGCCCTAGGCACCTTCAGAAGGCAGAGGCCCAGTATACCTGAAGGAGCGTCTCCACCCCCATCGTTCAGCCCGGACACTGAGGTCCAGCTCTGAGGGCCTTCTGCTGGTTCCCTCACTGGGAGAAGTGAGGTTACAGGGAACCAGGCAGAGGACCTCCTCAGTAGTGGTGCCCACCCTGTGGAACGCCCTCCCATCAGATGTCAAGGAAACAAACAACTCTCTGACTTTTAGAAGACATCTGAAGGCAGCCCTGTTTAGGGAAGTTTTTAATGTTTAATGCTGTATTGTGTTTTTAATATTCTGTTGGGAGCTGCCCAGAGTGGCTGGGGAAAACCAGCCAGATGGGCAGGGTATAAATAATAAATTATTATTATTATTTATTATTATTATTTCCATTCTGAAGGAAATCAGCCCTGACTGCTCACTAGAAGGACAGATCGTGAAGCTGAGGCTCCAATACTTTGGCCACCTCATGAGAAGACAAGACTCCCTGGAAAAGACCCTGATGTTGGGAAAGATTGAGGGCACAAGGAGAAGGGGACGACAGAGGACGAGATGGTTGGACAGTGTTCTCAAAGCTACCAGCATGAGTTTGACCAAACTGCAGGAGGCAGTGGAAGACAGGAGTGCCTAGCGTGCTCTGGTCCATGGGGTCATGAAGAGTCGGACCCGACTAAACAACTAAACAACAACAACATTGTTATTATTATTTGTGTTCTTGTCTGGCTGGGATGTGTCCTCAACTCTGATAATGCCTCTTGGTTGCCTGGATGGAGGTGTGTGTGTGTGTGTGTGTGTGTGTGTAATCTAGCTTAGTCTGTAAAGGTAAAATCATATGGTCACCCAGAAGGAAATGCAGCCATCGGGCTGAGAATGGTCTCCCCTTCCTTAAAGGCAGACACTGAAGCAAGCAATGTGGGAATAAACAGACTCTCTTTATTAAGTACACAAAGCAAAAAAAATCAGTTATCGAAAGCCTTTTTTGCTCCTGCTACCACCATGATTAATGAATTAATTACATGACCGTTCATTTATACTGTATAAATTTAAAGAAATAATATTATATTTGCATGACATTCAATTACATTAAAAGGCATGGCTGTCCGTTTAGGACGATACAGAAATGGGTGTTGTACGTAGGTGTCTATTAAACAGCTCTCCTTAAGCCCCCTTTTGTGCCACGGCTGTGACGAGTGGATGCAAATTGTGTGGCTGTGGCCACTCCTCATCTTCCCCTGCAGAGGGTACAAAAGCCAATTGAGATAGGGGGCAGAGTGGGCTCACTTCATTGCAGTGTGTGTTTGTGGAAGTGAAGGAAGCAGCTTCCGCCCACCCTCAATAACAGGAGGAATCATAATCAATAAGAACCGAGAGTCTCCGATGTGTGGGTGGCCCGGTGGAGGAAAGAGGTCGGGGTTCATCTTGAGATCTATCTTTGATTCCACAATGCTGGCAAAAGTACCAAAGAGTCACATCTGCACAGTTCAGATACAAGGTGTTTTCTGTTTCATGGGCTTGTTGGTTGTCCCTCACTCTCAAATTTTAACCAAAATACATTACTGAATTTCGCCTTTGCACCTCGGACTAGAGCTGCAAATTTCGCTTTTGCCCCTTTGGCCAAGTATTTTGCAGCCTCTGCTGATGCTGACATTGCTTTGCTCATCTGATTGGAGAAAGAAGAAGGGATGTTGAGGCCTGATTCCATCAGCAACCCTCCCTACGTTGACCTGCCTGCCTGGGGACCCCTCCCCCTGAACCCCTGTTAGAATTGCATTTGGAAGGTCAGTGTGGTAGGCTGAGAAAAGTGGTCGCGGGCTCCTTTGGGAGCTGGATTCTGCCAAGGCCTGATTCAAATCAGGCATATGTGGATGCCCATGACTCTCAGGGCAGAGTAGGCTTCAGGCAGGAAGGTGAGGCAGAACCTCTGAAACACTTACAGAGGCAAGCCCTGCAGAGAAGCCCCTTGCATAGGAATGGCATGGACAAGGCAAGATGGGCGCCTTTTTCCAAACAGCTTGCAAAGGTGCACATTTCAAAAGTGATTCCCCCCCCTACCTTTAGTCAGTTGTGGGGAGGCAGAAGCCCCGAACTACAGTGGAACGTACTAGCTCAGAAGGTGGCAGACTCTCCTTCCTTGGAGAGTTTCAAACAGAGTTTGGATGGCCATCTGCTAGGGGTGTCTTAGCTGCGATTCCTGCATCGCAGGGGGTTGGACCAGATGACACCTGGATTCCCTTCCAACTCTGCAGTTCTATGATTTTATTATTCTACTGCAGGAACAAATCCAGGACAGAACAAGCAGTTGCTTGGGAAATGACTTATAATGAAATTGGGCGGAGGACCAGAGGCATTCCTTTAGGGAATGGTACAGACAGAGGCTCCCAGGGGCCAGAAGAGCACATTTATATATGCAACTACAGCAACTCAGATTTTGTAAGCTCAGAAATGGAGGATGGGAGAGGTCCCAAGGAAGGAGGAATGGCAGCTAAAAATGATGGTGTATGCAGAGTTAGCAGGCTTAACTAGCAGGGTAAGAGAACAAGATGATTGAGTTTATAAGAGGAATGATTTTTGTGTGTGGAATACGTGGGAAATAACTGAAAGCAAGTGAAAACATGAGCAAGATTAATGTGAATTCAACAGTTACAATTTTGTTTGAGGTAACATGAAAAGGAGGGGAAATTAGATGGTTGGAATAGAATATGCAGTAAGAATGGGTAACTTAAAAGAACCATGGAAGGAGAAGAAGGGAAGTTGGTGTATTATTTTGTTTTATTGGTGGGTGTTTATTTGTGGAAACTCTATAACTGGAAACTTTAATAAAAAATAATATCTGATAAAGGCCAAGTAGTTGCCAGATTGGCCCAGGGCCTGATTCAGACCCTGCCTGGATTGAGGCCATAGGGCAGATGGGAGGCAAGAGCTGTGAACACTCCTAGGATCCAGCCCTACCTAAGGATTCTGTGGGTAGGACTGGGATTTTCTGGATGCAAAGCAAGCAGCACGACCGCTGAGCTCCCATCCTTCCCCAAACTCATCAGAACTGCATGTAGAATTGCCTGTACCAACCTGCTCCTTGAATTTTTCAAAGTCACTTTTCTCTTCCACTTTAGCTGTGTGTCTCTTAGCTGTGTTGCTCTTAGCTGTGTCGCTGTCATCCTCCTTGCCCTGAACCGAAATGCTCAGAGTCAAAACCAGCAGTGCTGCAGATAGCAGGATGGGCCACAACTTCATGATGGGTCAGATTCGGAATTCCTCCTTCGGCTGGCAGAAAGGAATAGAGGTGAGGAAGGGTTGCTCCTTGTCTCTGCTCTGCCTGAGGTGAAGCTCTGCGTTCCTTATATAGCCCTTGTTGAGGTCTGTTGAGTGATGCTACCTATTTCTGGCTTCAAATCAGAAATAGGGAGAGCAATTGGCCATCTTGTGTTGGGAACACTGAGTTCCTTGCCAGGGCTGAATAGATTTCCTCCATTCTCTTCCTTGACTGTTCCTCTGGTTCATTCCACTCTGGGCCTCACCCTTCCTGGGTTAGACATTTCTGATATTGACTCCAAATCTGCATCATGCAAAGTTTGCCACAGCTCCCCAGTCCTTTTGAAAAAATAAGCAATGTTGCTTCCCCAACATACTTAAGAGGTACATTAACTTTTCAACAGTCTCATTAATGGGTACAATAACTCTGCTGTAGGAACAGTATGCAGGTTGTATAATGTGCTTGGTGGGTACAGGTGTGGACTGACCAGGACACTGATGCAAGCCTAACTGCAGGACGTGGGTGGCGCTGTGGGTTAGCCATGCTGGCCACATGACCTGGAAGCTGTATGCCGGCTCCCTCGGCCAATAAAGCGAGATGAACGCTGCAACCCCAGAGTCGGCCACAACTGGACCTAATGGTCAGGGGCCCCTTTAACTTTACCTTTACCTTTACCTGAGGTGGACTTGGAGTTATATGACTCCCAAGTCCTCAGTGTCCCCCTTTCCACAATCCAGGCACTATGTACAGACAAAAGCATAATGACGTCCGTTCTCTCCAGCTCCGAGAGAACAAACAGGCACAAGTAAAAAAGTACATACAGCGGAAGAGATAAGACTGTCTTCCATTCCCCACACTCTTCTCAGACAGGCATGTGATTTACACCAATCACAAATGCAGCATCGGAGGAGGGAAATTGCTAAAAAAAACTTTCTCCTGAAGCATCTATGCCCTCCCAAAAGAGTCATCTGCAACCCTTAAATAGCCCATGGCTGATTCTGTAGTTACAGCCTCCTGTCCAGTGGTGCAGTAGGGGAACTACATGGAAAGAGATGCTGAGAGCTGTTCTCCAAAGGATTTGGAAGGCAGCATATTGACTAAATCAGCCCCAAAGCCTGAAAGAGTTCTGCTACTGTTCTACTGGGGCTTGGCACTCACCCCGGAGGTGGGAGCAATTGTGAGAGGTTGGCAAGGAAAGGCAAATCAGGATCCTACAGATCTCTCAATGGGCCCTGCTAGCTGAGGCATGGAAGATGTTGCTCAGAAAAGAGCAAGAGGCATATGAAGGCTTAAGAGGGCTGCGGAGGCTTTCCTCTCCTGTGGAGGAACCCCCTCTGGGAGAGCTGTCTGCGATTCCTAAAAAGCATCCACAGCTAATTCTGCAGTCACATCCTCCTGCATGTCTGGAGCAGGCAAAGCTACAAGTGAGTCATTTTGAGAGTCTGAAGATAGTGAAAGAGCCACGTCCTCAAAACTGGATAGTGGAGAAGGCGTGACTAAGGTCTTGAGAGTCATCTAGGTCCAAGTCCTCCTCAGGGCAACTTTGCCATATGGATGTTGTGGACAATATAAGTTAGGCTTGGTTAACAGCATGTTTCACTGTGTAGGTCACTCCCCACCAGTAACCTACCAAGCTCATTAAACAACTTGCATACTGTTCCTGCAGCAGAGCTGTTGTACTCTTGGAAAATTAATGTACCTGTTCAAAACATTCTCAAAAGGTACAGTACTTTCTCTGCAAAAGCCATTGTGCAGCCTGGAGATTGGAACAGCAACAAGGTGATAAGCCTTAGATATCTCAACAGAGTTGCTGTACTCCTTCATGTTGAAAAGTTAATGTACCTCTTAAGTATACCTCTTAAGTATTCATTTTTGGACTGGAACAGAATTTTGGGCTTCCTGACTAATGGAATAATAGACTCACCAGGTGCTCTCTGAAACCTGGAGTCAGACGAGATGCTTAAGGAAGTTGTTAGCCACCTCTCAAAGAAATATTTGTAATGTTAACATTGTAAAAAAAGAGATTACAGCCATAATCTATCATGTGAAAAATCCCGCCGCCCCCAAACTATTGCCTCTTCTCTGATGGGGAAATGATTTTTATTTAATGTTGGAGCACCTTATACAAACGGGGACGCGGGTGGTGCTGTGGGTTAAACCACTCAGCCTAGGGCTTGCTGATCAGAAGGTCGTCGGTTTGAATCCCCGCGACGGGGTGAGCTCCCATTGCTCAGTCCCTGCTCCTGCTAACCTAGCAGTTCAAAAGCACGTCACAGTGCAAGTAGATAAATAGGTACCGCTCCGGCGGGAAGGTAAACGGCGTTTCCGTGTGCTGCTCTGGTTCACCAGAAGCGGCTTAGTCATGCTGGCTACATGACCCGGAAGCTGTATGCCGGCTCCCTTGGCCAATAAAGTGAGATGAGCGCCGCAACCCCAGAGTCGGCCACAACTGGACCTAATGGTCAGGGGTCCCTTTACTTTACCTAGGTCAGTGGCTATCACTGCCTCCTGTGGGAGTGAGTGCCATAATTTACCGTATTTTTTGCTCTATAAGACTCACTTTTTCCCTCCTAAAAAGTAAGGGGAAATGTGTGTGCGTCTTATGGAGCGAATGCAGGCTGCACACCTATCCCAGAAACCAGAACAGCAAGAGGGATTGCTGCTTTCACTGCGCAGCGATCCCTCTTGCTGTTCTGGCTTCTGGGATTCAGAATATTTTTTTCCTTGTTTTCCTTCTCCAAAAACTAAGTGCGTCATATGGTCTGGTGCGTCTTATAGAGTGAAAAATACGGTAATTAGCAATTCGCCAATGGTTAGATAGCAGAACAATAACTCAGATTTGTTAGGAGACTTGACAGCTGAATCCTGTTTATCAGAGGGGCCTTGAAGATTAAAGCATTCCCACAGACAACCAGATTCTTTGAGTTATAAATTAACCAGATAACCCATTCACACTGAATCCACCAGGACAGCCAGGTGTCAAGAAGCACAAATCAACTAGAAACCCCCTTTCCTACTAAGAAAGGAGACACCCAATTTACACTTCTGAAGACAAAAATTCGGCAATTAAAGAACCAGATACACTTTCCCAGAATTCTATAGTGTTTGGCTCTCCCATAATGCTCTCCTTTGGCATGAGCCAAAGTTTTAACTTGCTAAAAGTTCCAAACTTCACTGCAGCCTGTTTCAGTCACTCACACAGGGATACTAAAAACTTAGAGTAGATGGAATTCAACTGAACAGTTCTGCTTGCACTTTTGGCTGTGCAGCAGAAATTCCACTCCTTTCCTTGCACATTCACCAAATAGGTTCTGAGCTTCCCCCAGTCAAATTTAGGGGATACTTGAGAAGAGGGGAGGAATGTTCTGCCGTGCAGCAAGAAGTGCTCGTATTAGTGGAACTGTGTAGTTTAGTTGGATATTGTCCCCATTGCTGAACTTGCTATATGCAAAATATTGGTTTTTAAATGGCCAAGTGCATGCTTAAGATATACCATATTTTTCGCTCTATAGGATGCACTTTTCCCCTCCAAAAGTTAAGGGGAAATGAGTCTGCGTCCTATGGAGCGAATGCAGGCTCCTTGGCTTCAGTGACAGCAATGCGAAGCCTCCGAAGCGCAGAGGGACCCCTCTTGCTCTCCAGGCTTCACGGATAGCCGCCTGAAGCCTTCGGAGTGCAGTGGGAACTCGCACTGCGCTCCGAAGGCTTCAGGTTCCTTTGCTGAAGTTGGGAGAGCAGGACTCTCCTGGCTTCAGCAGAGAGAGAGAGAGCTGCAGAGAGCCCCTTCAGCGAAGCGGGAGGAGAAATGGAAGGGGCTCCATTTCTCCTGCCGCTTTGCTGAAGGGGCGCTGAGCAGAGAGGGGGAGAATTTTTTTTTCTTGTTCTCCCCCCCCTAAAACAAGGTGCGTCCTATGGTTGGGTGCGTCCTATAGAGCGAAAATACGGTAACTATCCACTGCATGAAGCAGTTCTTCCTATTACTCATCCTGAATCTTCTGACATGCAGCTTCAGTGGAGGCCCATGAGTTCTAGTATTATCAGAGAGGGAGAAAAGCTTTCCTCTGTTCACTTTCTCCATGCCATGTGGAATTTTATAAGCTTCTATCATTGTCACCAGTCAGGCTTCAGGGAATCCAATCCCTCCCACAGTAGGCAGCCAAGTATTAGATAAACAAGGAGAATTCTTACCAAGTCTTTTATACAATACAGTGGTACCTCAGGTTAAGTACTTAATTCATTCCGGAGGTCCGTTCTTAACCTGAAACTGTTCTTAACCTGAAGCACCACTTTAGCTAATGGGGCCTCCTGCTGCTGCCACACCGCCGGAGCACGATTTCTGTTCTCATCCTGAAGCAAAGTTCTTAACCTGAAGCACTATTTCTGGGTTAGCGGAGTGTGTAACCTGAAGCGTATGTAACCTGAAGCGTATGTAACCCGAGGTACCACTGTATTCACAGAGAGAGAGATAGCAATGCCATCTTTCTTAGATAATGGCGTTTCTCCAAGTTAAGCCCCACCCCTCCATCTCTCCCCTTATACGTCATTCCTACGGTGGCTGATCTGTGCCTTCTACCTCTGAGCTCTCTGCTCTCCTACTTCCAATGACCTCCAGGTTCTGGGGGTGGTGGTGTCTGGCATGCTTACTAAAGATACTGAGTCTGTCAGCTGTCTCTCCCCTGGTGCTTCTTCTTCTTCCTGCTCCTCTCCCATTATTTCCCAGCTTCTCTCCTCCTCTGCCTCTGAGCTATGCCCTCCCGCAGACCACTGACTTCCTCTTCTCTGGAAAGTTCAGGAGGAGGGGGAGGCGGTCTCCACCATTCCTCCTCCACTGTCCAGTCCCTGACATCACCTCTTACTCACTTTTTCTATGGACCCAAAAGTCCCAAATGAGGCAACCTTTGCTTGTAGGGGAGTCACTTTATTCCCTTCCACATTTTGGCTGCCCTTTTCTGAACCATCCTGAAAACCAACTCCAAAGATTCTCCTCTACTTAACTTGCTGATCTACATCAACAAAATTGAGCCTCCATCCAAACACAAGTTGTTGGGTTTCCAGGAAGAGAGAATGCTCTTGTGCTCAGGTCTGGCTTGGCCCCTGTGAAGATGGGATGCTGAGCTGCATGGGCCACTGGCCTGATCCAGCAGAGCATTTCTTAGGTTATTATCACCCTAGTGGCAGTGGAAATGTTGTGGGATGGGGAAATAGAAGGGAACCCCTGTTCAGTACAGTTTTTCTTCCCCTAATTGGACAGGGAATATCTGAGCCATGACAGCCTCATAACCGATTAGGGCCCCAGCAAACTCTGAAACTGGCCACGTGGAAAAGAGATGTCTGCCAAGACTAGTGGTAAATGGTGTTCCAAATAACATTGTTCCTGCTCCTTAGCCAACAATACCTTACAACCCAAGCCACTCCTGATTAAAAACAAACAAACCAGCTGAGTGGCCGGGCACAAACCCAGATTCTTCCTTGCTCATGAAGGAAAGGGTATATAAAGAGCTGGTGCCATCACCTAGGACAGAACAGACCAAAGGAGAAGCTCTTCCACTCCATTGACCAGCGTGAAGCCATCATGAAGTTCTCCATCACCCTCTTTGTTGCTGTGTTGCTGATCTGGTCCATTATAGCTCTGGATGAGGTCCAGGCTGAGGATTCAGCCCAAGGCAAGACGGTAAGTAGAAGAATATAAGGAGAGCCCTGAAGCTGGATCAGGCCAGGGGTCCATCTAGTCCAGCATCCTCTTCTCACAGTAGTCAACTGAAGGAGAAGCCCACAAGCAGGCCCTGAAGGTAACAGCCACTCTCCCTGACACTTGGGATTCCCAGGAACTGATATTAACAAGGGGTCTCCATCCTGTTGCCAAGGAGTTGTCATTTGCTGTTTCAAACTGAACATGGCCATCCAAGGGGCCTCCAATGTGCTCAGGTCCTGCTTGTGGGCTTCTTGTGGACTTCTGGATGGCCACACTGGGAACAGGATACTGCACCAGATGGGCCTTTGCTTGCTGTCTAGTGGGACTCTTCTCAGATCTCCTAAGACACAGGGTGGTATCCAATGCTTGTCCTCCTCAGAGTAGACTCATTGAAGTTAAGAGGCATGGCTATCTTAGGTCCATTAACTGCAAGGAATCTACTCTGAGTAGGGTCTTCTCTGAGTAGGACTAGCACTTGCTACCAGTGGCATCTGAACTGAAATTGTTTTCAGATGTTGTTAGATGAGTTAATTCATTTATCTCTTGTTTTGTTTGGTGCCCCAGAGGAAGGGCAGGATATAAATATAATTAATAATAATTATGGTAATGGTAATAACAACTAAATCTCAAAAACTCATATAAAGCTGCCCTCTGCCAAGTCGAACAATTGGTTCTTCAATGTTATCTATGAATTGACTGGTTGTAGCTCTCCAGGGGTTCAGTCAGGGCTCTTTTCTATCCCCACCTGCAGATGCCAGGGATTAGGTAAAAGGTAAAGGACCCCTGGATGGTTAGGCCCAGTCAAAGGCAACTATGGGGTTGTGGGGCTCATCTCGTTTTTCAGCCCAAGGGAACTGGCATTTGTCCACAGAGAGCTTTCTGGGTCATGTGGCCAGCATGACTAAACTGCTTCTGGTGCAACGGAACACTGTGATGGAAACCAGAGCACACAGAAATGCCATTTACCTTCCCTCCACAGTGGTACCTATTTATCTACTTGCACTGGTGTGCTTTCGAACTGCTAGGTTGGCAGGAGCCAGGACAGAGCATCGGGAGTTCATCCCGTCACAGGAATTTGAAACGCCAACCTTCTGATTGGCAAGCCCAATAGGCTCAGTGGTTTAAACCACAGTCTTTGGTACCTTGGACCTTCTGCATGCAAAGCAGATGTTCTAACACTGAGATTATTATTATTATTATTATTATTATTACCCCGCCCTCCCTGGCCAAATCCAGGCTCAGAGCAGCTAACATCAAACGTATAACACATTAACATAAAATCAGGCAAACAATTGAAATACATCCTAAAATCAGATCAGGATCAAAATAAAATCCAATCAGATGGCAACCCACAGATTAGGGTTGGAGACCTTAAGTGCTCACCAGGCCCAACTGTTTCTGCTGAACTTATATGGGTCTGTGAGAAAAATTGAGAGGCCACTTTCATGCAAGTTCTTATGAAAGGGGAGGAGGAGTCAGACTGAACCCTGACCAAAGGCCTGGCAGAACAGCTCCGTCTTGCAGGCCCTGCACAGAGAAGTCAAATCCTGCAAGGCCATGGTGTTTTGTGACACAGTGTTCCACCAGGCTGGGGCCCTGGCCGAAAAGGCCCTGGTCCTTGTCAAGGCCAGTCTAATCTCCTTGAGGCTCGGGACCTCCAAAATGTTTTTATTTGTGGAACGTAAGGTCCTCCGTGGGGCATACCAGGAGAGGCGGTCCCGTAGGTACGAGGGACCTAGGCCTACATTCCTTCCCTCAAACTCAAGTACAATCCTAGTCTTTGTGGTTCTCATAAAGGGGTGGTTTAAAGAGAAACAGAGGAAGCTGCCTTATACTGAGACAGTCCATATAGCTCAGTATTGTCCACTCTGAGGAACAAAAGATCTCCAAGGTTTAGGACAGGAGACCCGGCAAGTACACCTGGGAATGCCATTGTAGATTGAATTTGGGCCTTTTGGCCTGCAAGGTAGATGCTCTAACACTGAGTACAGTTTGCAGTGGAAGAGGATAGTCTCTTCCACTCTTGACCAGAGGGACAAAGGTTCCACTTCAGACTTGTAACGCGAGGAAGGGTGTCTGCAGATGCTGGGTCGTAATATCAACTATCTTCTCTTTGCTACCAACAGGGGGCATTGAACAATGTGATTCATACAATCAGGAAACGTACCCCAGAGGCAAACAGGAATGGAGTTGAGGCAGCCCTTCTTTTGAAAGGGGTAGTTAATTCTCTCTCAAATGCTGACAAGCCTAAGGTATATCAGCCTGCACCAGACCACCCAGTAGCTATGTCATAGCAACATGTCCTTCCTGCCTGCTGCTGGCCCTCCTCAAGGCACCTCCACTTCTGCAACCAGACCCTGCGATGCTCCGGTTCATTTTGATCTAACCTCCAACCCCTCCCTCCCCCCCAAGATGCTCAGAGGTTCAGCACATGATCTTCAAACATCGGCCCATCACTGCTGCTTTCTCTTACTGGGGCATCAATTGCAATAGCCGAATCAAAAAAATAAAGGTCATCCAGCATTTCTCTGTGTCTTTTTTTACCTGGGATTAATGTCACGTCAGCTGAGTTTCAAGCAGAAGAGGTTTATTCACTAGGGCTGCTCCACTGAGCTGTGATTATCACTGGAGGCTCAGGTGGCCTTGGCAAGGAGTCCTTTTTTCCAGCTCCAACTGGTTCACCAGCTATGGCCCCTTTTGGACACAGATGACTTGACCTCTGTGCTCCATGTTCTGGTAACTTCCAGGCTGGACCTCTGCAAAGTGCTCTACATGGGGCTACTGCAAAATGGGGCTGCCCTTGAAGGCAACTCAGAAACTTCCTTTGGTTCATAATACATCAGCCAGATTACTAGCAGGAGTTCCATTTTCATCACATATAAACCAGATGCATCGGTTGCCCGTTTGATTCCAGGCTCAATTCAATGTACTTCTATTTGTGTTCAAAACCCTAAAGGAGTCAGGCTCCAAATATCTGAAAGATAGTCCCCTTCCTTACGCTCCCTCTTGGCTGTGAAGTTCTGTGGGCTAACCAGCCTCATATAACCAATATGCTTAAGTCTACTTAAGGCATAAAGGGGTTAAGACCATTGAGTAAGCTGTCCTGCCAGGCTTAGCTCACCTTGGGAGGAGCTAGGGAATCAGGCCTATGGTTCTTCCCTCAGTCTCCCTCAGAAACTCAGCATGTAAAGAGGTCTGAGCTGATTGCTGAAGCTCAGATGTAGCATGGCCATTATTGTGTCCCTATGCTAATAATTTAGGAACTTTGGCCTGATCCAGCAGCCAGGCTCTTCTTGTGTCCACAGATTATTTACTTCTATGTTCAGAACATTGAGACATCAGCTTAAACCGGTCTGTCCTCATCATAACATACAGACATTCAGCTTTCCATTTTTATGGACAGTCTTCTCTCATAATGCTAGAACGGAGTCAGGGCTGTCCAATGAAGCTGAATGCCGGAAGATTCAGGACAAAGGAAATAAACTGTATAGTTCAACTATGGACCTCAGTCCCACAAAAGGTACTGATAGTCACCAGCTTGGACGGCAGGAAAAGTGGATTAGTCTAATTCATTGATAATAGGGTTTCTGCCTAATTATGTTCTACTCAAAGTGTATCCACTGAAGGTGATGGACCCAATTGCTCATGTTCATGCATTTTGGTGGTTCTGTTCTGAGAAGGACTCACAGTGGATACCACCAAAAGGCCATCCGTGGCTACTAATTGTTTTATTTTCTTTCTTTATTGCATTTCTATCCCACCTTTTTCTCCAAGGAGCTGAAGATGGTGTACATGGTTCTGCCACTCCTCATTTAATCCCCACAACAACCCTGTGAGGTAGGTAAGCCTGAGAGGCAATGACTGGCTCAGGGTCACCCAATGAGCTTCATGGTTTGAAGCTTGGTCTTCCAGGAACCTAGTCCAACACGCTAACCAATGCACCACATTGTCTTCTTGCAAAGTCCAGGGATCTAGATGAACAGAGAGATTTTAGTTTGGCAAACATAGATGGGGCTTTTTTTCAGCCGGAACCGAAAGGTTCCCAAACCTCTCAGGTTGATGCCATTGCCATTCTAAGAGAATGTGACTTCATTGTGAGTTCTGGCACTTCTTTTTCTAGAAAAATAGCACTGACCGTAGTGTTATGCAGCACAGTGAAGCTCAGAAACAAAGTGGCATGAGGCTTTGCAGGATCCTAGTCACACTGAAGAGGAATTTGTTGTTGTTTTGAATACTTTGTAGACTGCATCATTATGATAATCTCTAAGCATTGTACAAGGAAACAAAACAATTGACCTCACATTTTGACTCAGGAGGGGGACACCCTGAGATCACCTTCATCCACCTAATTATTGGGTCCACACCCATAGGAGATCATGTCCACCCCAGCTGCTTTTACACCAGAGTATGGGAACCATTGGTCCTCCAGATTGTGCTTGACTCCACCTCCCAAGAGCTCCAACCAGCATAATCAATGGTTCCACATGATGTGCATTCGTTATAATGGATCTACTCTGAGGAGCATGAACATTGGGTGCAGCCCTCCAGCTCTTTCCCCCAAATTTCTGGTGTCTGGAAGAACAGCTGCTCCTTCTACTCAAATTCCCCTGGGCTGAGCTTCTGCTTCATTTGTGGCTCTCATCACAGACCAGAAGAGCACCAGGCTTGAAAGCAGGACAGCTGATATTTTCCATGATGGCTGTACACAGGAAGGTCTTCCTGAATGGTTATGCAGGGAAGAACCACCTTAAAGAATGCCCTGTCTTAGATGATGGCTTCGAGTCTCCTCAAAATAACCAAGCAAGTATTAGAAGTCACCCCAGAACTGGCCCTACTAAACATCTTCCAAGACAATAATGCCCACACACATTACAAAGAGCTCATAACCCACAAAGAGCTCATAATGACCTAGATCAAAGTCCACCAATGTGAGGGGGGTATCTAATCAGGAAGAATTTTGGTCATTCAGGTTTAGTGTCTATCAAGCAGAAAGAAAATTAATGAGCATACCATTTTCCATCATCTGTGTTAGTTCCACATGGGCAGCAGCAGAAACTGCCAGGAGCCTGATCTGAGACCAAGCCATAATGGATAATATCTAACTGAGCCTGCAGAAATACTTGAGGAAATTTTTGCACATTCTCTGGGCATTGTGCACATCTTCCCGACAATATGCAGTGTCGCCAATAAAAATGTCCTTGCTCTCTGAATCTAATCCACAGGTGCATGCAATTCTCTGCCCCTGGAAATGGTGGCAGGCCAGATGTTTTTGAGTGCAGGCCAGATATCCCCACTTGCTGGTGTACAGGACTGAGCTGGGATCAAGGACACCCATTCAAGGGTATATCTGACTGGGAAAGGTTTTGGCCATTAAATATGGAGCAGGAAGAAAAACCAAGGGCATGGCGTTATGCCTCAGCCTCATCAACCAGCACCGTGTTCCATTGAGAGGCACATCCACCAAGACAGAAGAAATGAGTCATATAACTTTAGAGTTGGTGAGCTGTAATATTGAGAAATAATCCATAATGAGTTGAAAAAAATGTTTAAAAGTACTTTCCCAAAAAACAAGGGTTCTTTTTGTTGGGGATAATTCAGACAGAAATTTCCAGGTGTCAAAAAAGGATATTTATGTACTGTATGCCACTACAGCGGCCCGTGTTTTGTTAGCCCAAAATGGAAAACGAGCAAGGTCCAAATTAAAGAAGAATGGAAACATAAACGGATGGAATATCTGCAGTTTGCAGACCTAACACATAGAATAAGAGAACCAGAAGAACATATGTTTAGAGAAGATTGGAGAATGTTTACTGAATATATGGGGGGAGATTGTGTACACTTGAAAGCGTTGGCAGCGTTAAGATAAATTCAACAGTGTAAATAAGTTTTGATGGATGTAATGGAATACTGAATGGTTTGGTTGATGTAAAATATGCAGGGATTTGTGTTATGCAAAATTAACCATGGAAAGAGAAGAAGGGAAGTCATTGATATTTCAAGGTGGTTTAAATGAATATTCTAAATTGTAAAACAGAAAATTTAATGTAAAATTTTAATTTAAGTTGCCATTCTTCTTTCATTGGGCCCTCGCTCATTTTCCATTTTGGGCTAACAAAACTTGGGCCACTGTAGTGGCATACATAAATAACTTTTTCTGACACCTGGGAATTTTTGTCTGAATTATCCCCAACAAAAAGGACCCTTGTTTTTTTGGGAAAGTACTTTTAAACATTTTTTTCCCCAACTCATTATGGATTATTTCCCAATATTACAGCTCACCAACTCTAAAGTTATATGACTCATTTCTTCTGTCTTGGTGGATGTGCTCTCAACGGAGCATGGCGCTGGCAATATCTGGTGCTGGCCATGTGGAAAGAACAGAGTTGATGAGGCTGAGGCATAACGCCATGCCCTTGGTTTTTCTTCCTGCTCCATATTTAATGGCCAAAACTTTACCCAATCAGATACGCCCTTGAATGGGTGTCCTTGATCCCAGCTCAGTCCTGTACACCAGCAAGTGGGGATATCTGGCCTGCATTCCACATCTGGCCTGCCACCATTTCCAGGGGCAGAGAATTATGATTCGAGGACCCGCCCCCCTTCGCTTGGGAATAAGAAAGACACATGGACACAGTATTTTAGGTTAATGGGCTAGAAAAGGCCACAACTTTATTGATTACAGCATGTGAGAGGTACTGGCTTAGGCAGTGGAAGAAACAGCGAAGTTTGACTCCACCCACTCAAGGAGAGGTGAGTCTAGCAAGGGTTAACCACCAGTAGGGGGAGCCTGTTGATGCAAATACAACTGTAAGCTCTCCCCTGATGTCACCGGGGGTCGTGCCATGGCCCCCAGCCCCCAGCAGGGCATTGGACAGGATCCACGACCGCCGGATTTCCTATTTGTGTGGCGAGTTCCTGTCCCCCAGCAAGGAGAAATAATGACACAGGACACCAAGTATTAAGGTTAAATGGGCGAATTAGGCCACAATTTTATTGATTTCAGGAATGAGAAGTATTGGCTTAGGCATTGGTCCTATCGACTAACCGGCTCCAGCCCAATTGCATGAAGACCGGCATAGGTTAACACCAGAAGGGGGAGTCCTGCTGAGGCACGTCAACTAGGAACTCCCCCGGGTCACCGCTCGGGGGCTTGCCTTAGGCCCACGCCTCCATAGGTTTCGGACAGGGCCACGCCCCCCTCGAATCCTTTAACGGACTACCCTTAGCTTTTGGGGGGAGGTGATGGTGTTTCCTCCCCCCCACATCCTCTTAACCCCTTCTTACCAATGCCTAACCGCCACTCGAGCAAAGCTCGCCTCCAATACCCTCATGCCTGCAACCAATTCCTGATCCCCTTTGCTATATCAGTCAGCCATATGTCATTTCCCGCATCCGACAGATGCACGCCATCAGACCAGTAGAGGGCCTCATTGCTGAAACGAATGCCAT